AATCGGCCTCGCTTAGCAGTGGGACCTTTTCTTAATTTTGAAAGATTATAAATTATTTCTATGAATTAATTTTCATAGAAAAATAATATTTGAGTGATTGCATTATATAAATTAAGAATAGCATCTTATATATATCACAGAAATAGCGGAATTCGTTGCAATATACCATATGAACTATATAATCGGCCTCGCTTAGCAGTGGGACTTTTTCTTATGTTTAAAAGTTTTGGGGGATATTTTTTCAATTGATTTCCATAAAATAATATTTCTTTCGAAAGTTTTACGTATATTAAGGACATTATACTATTTTCATAGAAAAATAATATTTGAGTGATTGTATTATATAAATTAAACATAAATTATGCAAGACCTAAATCTGCCTATTGTAGGTCTTTCTTTATGCCTGAAATGTTATATAAACTATTCATTAGACATTGATTAACGTATCCAGACTATAATCAACTCTCAATGTCGTTAGCCTGCGATATTTGTTGTATTATTATCCGATTTGCTGCACAACTTTCCTTCTCGATTTAACGATTAAATGGATAATCGAGACTATGATTTTTGTTGAACCGACTTTAGTAATAATGACCGAGGCTATTGCGGGATTTACGGTCGCTTAGCGCTTATTTCTCGGTTCATAGTGGATCAATTTGACTGAAATTTTCAGCAAATTACCTTTACATTATGTAGTTTTAAATATCTTTAAGAATAGTACCTTATGTATCACAGAAATAGCGGAATTCATCGCACTATACCAAATGAAGTATACAATCGGCCTCGCTTAGCAGTGAGACATTTTCTTAATTTTGAAAGATTATAAAGTATTTCTATGAATTAATTTTCATCGAAATATAATATTTGGGTGATTGTATTATATAAACTAAGAATAGTATCTGATATATCACAGAAATATCGGAATTCATCGCACTATACCACATGAAGTATACAATCGGCCTCGCTTAGCAGTCCGCCTTCTTCTGATGTTTAAAAGATTTGGGGGATATGTTTTCAATTGATTTTGACAAAATAATCATATTTCTTTCGAGCGTTTTACGTATATTAACCCCTTAACTGCGCAGGACGTTATATAACGTCCTGGACAACTGCCACTCACCGTGTGTAGGACGTAATATAACGCCCTGGAGGTATTTTCCCCAACCTATTCTTCGAACACAATCTTACCACGCGGTTGGACGTATTATTACGTCTGGTCGAGGAATCTAATTGAAGGGAGACAACTCTATTTACTGTTAGTTGTATTTTGGTTTAAGACCACTCAAATTTCGTCAAATTAATGACGCAATAGGGGGTAGTTAACGTCAAATTAATTACACAGTTAAGGGTTTAAGGACATTATTCTATATATCCCAGAAACACTGAAATGCAATACCGCGTATAGAGTCTAATCGGCCTCGCTATGCATGAAGTATACAATCGGCCTCGCTTAGCAGTGGGACTTTTTCTTACGTTTAAAAGATTTGGGGGATATTTTTTTAATTGATTTTCATAAAATAATCATATTTCTTTCGAACCTTTTACGTATATTAAGGACATTATACTATATATCCCAGAAACACGAAAATTCATCATCCAATATCGCATATAGAGCCTAATCGGCCTCGCTATGCATGAAATATACAATCGGCCTCGCTTAGCAGTGGGACCTTTTCTTAATTTTGAAAGATTATAAAGTATTTCTATGAATTAATTTTCATAGAAAAATAATATTTGAGTGATTGCATTATATAAATTAAGAAAGAATCTTATATATCACAGAAATAGCGGAATTCGTTGCACTATACCATATGAACTATACAATCGACGTCGCTTAGCAGTGGGACTTTTTCTTATGTTTAAAAGTTTTGGTGGATATTTTTTCAATTGATTTTCATAAAATAATGATATTTCTTTCGAAAGTTTTACATATATTAAGGGCATTATACTATATATCCGAGAAACACAGAAATTCATCACCCAATATCGTGTATAGAGCCTAACCGACCTCGCTATGCATGAAATATACAATCGGCCTCGCTTAGCAGTGGGACTTTTTCTTAATTTTGAAAGATTATAAAGTATTTCTATGAATTAATTTTCATAGAAAAATAATATCTGAGTAGTTGTCTTGTATAAACTAAGAATAGTATCTTATATATCACAAAAATAGCTGAATTCATCGCACAATACCACATGAAGTATACAACCGGCCTCGCTTAGCAGTCAGACCTTTTCTTACGTTTAAAAGATTTGCGGATATTTTTTCAATTGATTTCCATAAAATAATGATATTTCTTTCTAATGTGTTACGTATATTAAGCACACTATCTTATATATCCCAGAAACAAGGAAATGCACTATCCAATACCGCGTATAGAGTCTAATCGGCCTAGCTTGGACTTTTTCTTAATTTTGAAAGGTTATAAAATATTTCTATGTATTATATAAATAATACATGCATTATGCAAGAGCTAAATTTGCCTATTCTATGTCTTTCTTTAGGCCTGAAATGTTATATAAACTATTAATTAGACATTTGTTGGATTTATCTCCGATTTGCTGCATAATTCCTTCTTAATTTAACGATTAAGTGGATAATCGAGACTATGATTTTTGTCGAACCGACTTTAGTAATGATGACCGAGGCTATGCGGCAGTTTTGATCGCTTACTGCTTATTTCTCGGATCATTGTGGATCAATTTGACTGAAATTTTCAGCAAATTGCCTTTACATTATCTAGTTTTAAATATCTTTAAGAATAGTACCTTATGTATCACAGAAATAGTGGAATTCATGGCACTATACCACATGAAGTATAAAATCGACCTCGCTTAGCAGTGAGACATTTTCTTAATTTTGAAAGATTATAAAGTATTTCTATGAATTAATTTTCATCGAAATATAATATTTTGGTGATTGTATTATATAAACTAAGAATAGTATCTGATATATCACTGAAATAGCGGAATTCATCGCACTATACCACATGAAGTATACAATCGACCTTGCTTAGCAGTCCGCTTTTTTCTAATGTTTAAAAGATTTGGGGATATTTTTTCGATCGATTTTCATAAAATAATCATAATTCTTTCGAGCGTTTTACGTATATTAAGGACATTATACTATATATCCCAGAAACACGAAAATGCATTAACCAATACCGTGTATAGTCTAATCGGCCTAGCTATGCAGTATGCACACTTTGAATCCAGTCGGCCTCGATTAGCGGTGGGACTTTTTCTTAAGTTTTGAAAGATTATAAAGTATTTATATGAATCAATGTTTATAGAAAAATAATATTTGAGTGATTGCATTATATAAATTAAGAATAGCATCTTATACATCACAGAAATAGCAGAATTCATCGCACTATACCACATGAATAGGTATACAATCGGCCTTAATTTTCTTAATTTTGAAAGATTATAAAGTATTTCTATGAATTAATTTACATTGAAAAATAATATTTTGTAAATCAAATTATATTTCAGTAAGTGATTCACATATTTTTAGAATATCTGACAGTATATTCCAGAAATAGGGAAATTCATTGACTACTTATACTACTCCGAGTACACAGTAGAACAGGTCAGTGAGAGTACATTTTGTCGCGCTATTGAATTTTCGTACCGCTAGTACCTCCTTTGGTCGTAGAGACTTGAAATTTTCAGGAAGTGTTAAGAGTGACTATTGATGATCACACACCAGGACCACAGAAACCACTAGGTGTACGTAAGTGTAGTAGCACTTGAGATTTCTTTTATTATTAACAATAAATAGTCCTTTCTAAACTCGACCTTCAAATAAAATGGGAGGGACTTAAACAAGAAAGAGGCGGGGCTTACATCTGCCTCGCTCAGCATAATCGTAAAAATCGGTCTCGCTTAGTACGGTATAACACTTACCGTTATGTACTGGTTGTTGATCGGACTGTTAACCAGTCATAATTTGGGACAGAAATTTGCACTGAGTGTGGCAGTTTTTGAGTGGATAGGTCTAATCAAACGAAACACTGCGAGGAGTATGCATAATAACAACAGTCTCTAGCAGTATGCTAATATTCTCATCCGTTTAAATGTAGTAAAATTAGCTGGGGGGTTTTGTATGCATAATAACAACAGTCTCTAGCAGTATGCTAACATTCTCATCCGTTCAAATGTAGTAAATGTAGTAAAATTAGCTGATTTTTCTGTTTCTATCTCACACCAGTCATTATAAAAAATTTAAAAGATTTAATAAAGAATAGAATCTTTTAGTGAATGAGGTCCGCTATGCTGCGTTGCTGAACATATTTTATTACAGTTGAAATTAGTCAAAATGGTGAAGTTAGAGTTTCCATCAATTATCTACAATGTAAACAGATATTTCAGCAGAGAGAGAGAGGGTTAATGCCCACTCAACACAAACTAGGTCATTTCGGAACTAACATATGATGCATTTTTATTTCAATATAATAATTCTCTTGTGTGTTGGGATCTTTAGTAGTGGGAGGAAAGCAGAGGACACAGAAATGAAATGGGGTTTAACATCCTACTGTTCTGCTCTGGCTGGGCTAATGAAGACGGGCATATGTCATACAGTGTGCTAACAGGGAAATTTTGCCCGGACAGTGCTGCTACAGCCCACTCTTGTAACGAATTCCAACAGTCAATGTTTCTTTTACATGCTTGCCAATGCGTACATGGGACCTCGGTTTTTCGTCCCATTCAAAATGACTAGACAGCTGTCCTTGTCAGGCCCTCCGTCCTGCACCACCGACAAGGGGAAACCACACCGGAAAATCCAGATGAACTTTCTCGGCCAATGCAGAGATCGTATATGCGACCTCCAGGCTAGCGAGCCAGCGTCTTACCCACTAAGCTACCCTAGCTCCCTCAAAGGACACAGAGAAAACACACCAGATTGTGCAGGCAATCTTACACTCCTTGTCATGTACAATTTTGGGATTAAAACCACACCACAAGATCATTCATATTTAGTGTTTAAGCTATCATACCTGTAACGCTATGGGGTCAAGGGTCATATCCCAGGAATCCCCAATAGAATCATCCAATGCATCTTCAATGTCTTTTAACTGTGATGCATAATCTTCCAGGAAACTACCATATTTTTTTAACTGAAGTTCACCAACTATTTCTACAAAATTAAATACCATAACTTATTTTATTTGTTTGGATGGTGAATATAAATAGATGACAGTGGATATTATATACTACAGATATAAAGTAATATCAATATTTTGAGAGATGTTATTGCATGTAGACTGATAAGAGATATCCACCATGTGTATGAAAATATCATTTATTTATTTTTCTTGAAAAAAAACCCTGCAAAATTATATAACAAGTGGTTGCCATGCAAGATTGCAAGAGGTGGACAGAGAACAAGTTAAAAAATTGATTTTGCATACGTTCAGGGGCCATAATCCAGGATGTTTCATCTGACATGCATCGATATCAAAAGGAACCGAGATCATGGGGATATAACACTGTAACCCAGGTATCGTTTAATCTTGTGTATCTAGCACTAATTTCTTTCACATACGTTTAATATCCAATCTTTGTTCAAAAATTTGTAAAAACTGTTTAAAATCACCATAAATCGTTTAATTTGTACTTCTGTCCAGTTTAAAGCTGACAATTCAATTTTGATAATGAGTGTCCAATTTACAGGTGTTTAATTTCTCAATCATTGTTAAAAGATAGGTTGCCAGGCAACGAAACATACGCCAACAGCAGCTAAATCGTCCGGGCAGTCAACAAGTATTGTCGCATATTTTTACTTTTTTTGGTAATGAAACATTTATAATACACTAAAATCTGATTAAGAGTAACAACTCATTAAGTAATTATCAATCTAAAGTCAATCGGATGATAACTTTAGCCTCTAATACGTTACAAGAATTTTGGGAAATTATCGGAAATCGCTGAAAATCAATAGGATTCTTTGTCTTATGACCTTAAACACTGTGTATAAATTTAAAGTCAATCGGATATTAACTTTGACCTCTAGAGCGTCCACAAGATTTTTTGAAGTGATCAAGGGCCATAACTCTGGCAGTAATTATCGGAAATCGCTGAAAATCAATAGGCTTCTTCATCTCATGAACTTTAACACTGTGTATAAATTTAAAGTCAATCGGATATTAACTTTAGCCTCTAGAGCGTCCACAAGCAATTGTGGACGCCGGACCGACAGACGGACGGACAGGGGCGACGACAATATACGACCACATTTCAATGTTGGCGTATAAAAAATAAACAACCCAATTGATTAATGATGTATAATGATTCATTTTTGGACAGTGATCAGGAAATTAAATACTTGTAAATTGGACACTCATTATCAAAATTAATCAGTCAGCTTTAAACTGGACACATGTACAAATTAGATGATTTTTGGTGATTTTAAACAATTTTTACGAATTTTTAAACAAAGATTTGATATTAAACGAATGTGAAAGAAATTAGTGCTAGATACACAAGATTAAACAATACCTGGGTTACAGTGTTAACATATATGTTTTAAGTATCATCGAAATTCAACAAAAGTTGTGACCTCTTGAGGCTCCACAAGTTAAAAGCGTGATTTTTGGTACAATCACAGTCCATAATCCATATCTTTGTTGGTTTCTTGTAAAATTAGCTTTGAAAATCGACTCACACAGGAAAATAGCTAAAATAACTCTTTTTCAAAGGCTAACCAAGTAAAGGAGCCTTTCATTAAATTTGAGCAGTAAATTATGATTTTTTTCATTTTTTGCCGATTTGAATAGATTGATTATAATATTTCTAATTGCCTGATCATCATGAAACAACGCCAACGTGTGTGTATCCTACAGGATCCCCCAGACTTTTGCAACATTCGAAGGACTAGCTCTGTTCCTTGTCCTACATCACTAACAAGGGGAAACCACACTGGAAAATCCAGAGGAATTTACTCAGAAAACACCAGGATCCAACCCAGAGCCTCCTGGTTAGTGAGTGAGCCAGCACAGCTTACTCTCTGTGAGTCTGTGACTGCCATCTTGGCTCATATAACTGAATATTAGGGATGGCATGCATGGAATTTACAGATTGACACCTTTCATTTCATGAATATTTCTTTTGTCAAAAAGTCTGTCTTACTTAGCATGCAAGCATGCAGTTTTCCTTACTTATGGAACCCTAGCTAAGAGAATATAGCTAAAAACGTTGAGATATACTGATGTGCTTGTTTTTAGCTACGATTGGGTGCCTTTAGTTTCACCAGGCAAAATTAATTTCATTGAAAATAACTTAATTTTCTACTATCAGAACTTATTAAACATACGAACCCTACTAGAAGTGAAACATCTTTGATTTAGGGCTGAAACGATACGCTGTGCCACGATATGATACAGTATCATGTCCTAGCCCAACGATACGGGTGCGTCACAATACATGCTTTTATTGTGAAATTGACTTAATTGATACAAAGTTACATTTTTTATTTATAGATAAAATAAAATTAATATTTAACCAATATTTTTTGCACTTTTTTTTTACTCAGATTGAATCAAAACACAAAATTAATTATGCAATCACACACACACACACAATCAAGTCAAGTCAAACAAAACTCAGATACTCATACATGAATACAATCCTGTATACCATAATTGGGAGGACATATTTTGCTGACAAAAATTTCTTTATTGACATTCATGTTGCCGTTTACGTAGGTAACGGAAAATCCGAAATGATCCCACACTTTTGATCGGTAAGATGCAGGCAGTTTTTCGATCTTGACTTCACACAGTGTTATTACTACTGGACGTGGACATAATAGTCAAAAGAAAAATACCGTCGAAAGTTAAACAACATTTTTAACACTTTTCGTAAGGGACACAGGCATCGTGAAGACGAAATGAGTGTCAAATGTGATTTAATTGGTGTAAAATTGATGGCTTCCGGTATTTTGTCCAATGGAAAGTATTGTCCTATCAAGTTTCTGGGTTGTATATTTTGCACAACATTAGTATAAGGTCAGTTTTTGCAACGATATGAAGTCTGGATGGTTAAGACATATTATTCTATTGGAATTTTTCTTTACACAGAACTGATAGGTTATTGCTATACATCCTACCACCAAATTCATTGAAAAATATCGCGATTCAGTGTGAAATATACCGTGAACCTCAAATTGAAAAAATAATCGTGGTTATCGATTTTCTTATAAAAAGTATCGTTCATCGTTTTTATGAATAAAAATTCCGTTTCACTGGTGAATTGATTCTGTCCAACTTTGGTTTATCTGCAAATATCGTCAATAAATTGAATCAAGTGTTGTTTTTATCAAAATTGATACGGACATTCATAATTACAGTGTATTATTCCTGTGCAACTCATATCAGGTTAGCATTTTGATTGCAGTGTGTTAAATTAGCACTAGTCTGTACGCCTGTGGTCAGTAGATTTTTGGTCTGGCTCGTGGAAAATTTTGAAACCTTCAACCGTTTTTTATTCCAAATCACTCGAGAAAAAAAAGATAAATATACGGCTTTTTTTCATAAATTATTTGGGAAACACATTTTCCTTTACAAGGTCATGTGATCTCGTGTGAAATCGCGATGGATTTCTCGATTGAAAAATCAGTAATGGCTCAAATGTTCGTCTGTCGCGAATTTTACATCTGACAGGTAGCAAGAAAAACTACTTTTTGTTCAGTAAATTGACTTAAGACCACAATACTCACGTCTACGTCACATATATTTAGTTATTCATTTGTAAATGCTAGAATTAAGCTCAGAAGTACCGCAAAAAGCCGCCATTTGCAATGTTTCCATTGTGCTCTGTCATACAGTTACTCACACTGTAGTTGGAAGTAGTCAATTTTATAACAATAAATCTCACACCATCTACGCTTGTTTTGATCTGCTTGGCACTAGTTTATAGCAATTTGAAGTATTATTAAGTATTATAAGTAAATGAATTAAAATGCACCCCCAAGTCATCTGAACTTATTCTACCATAATGACCCCACAGTAAATATAGTGGTGGCTGGAATGGAAATGCACATGGGTCGTTGTCCGGTGTATTTAATCATTTAAAAATATTTAAACCAATGTCCATAAGTAAAGGCTATGAATAATTTACTAGAAAAATTGACAAAATCAATAATTAGGTCGGAAAAAATTTCATATATAAATATAATTTGTAGCATAAATATAGACATGGATGTGAGGAAGGAATTCCAAGGGGAGTTACCTATCCTCCGCATGCGGTACATGTAAATAAGCAGCCATGCACATCCACAGCTGTCAAGTCGTGTTTTGATATTAAACATAGGCAAGAGGTAAATCTGCCTATTGCAAGTCTTTATTTAGGTTTCAGATCTTATAGAAATTATTAATTAGACATTTATTTACATGACGATCTCAAAATCAACTCTGTAGACCCTCGGATGGCTTGGATACAGCTTGGATTTAAACAGTCGTCCATTTAAAATTAACAAGATAGGTTGCCCGGCAACGAAACATACGCCCACAGCAGCTAAATCGTCCGGGCAGTCAACAAGGGTTGTCGCATATTTTTACTTTTTTCGGTAATGAAACATTTATAATACACTAAAATCTGATTAATAGCAAAAACTCAGAAAACCATTAGAATTTGTTTGGTTTTTATAAAGTTCTGCCCCATGCTAACGTTTTGTATACAAAACTTTTAATACTGTATCATGGATTTAGCTGTTCCAAGTCATAAAAATTCATTGAAAATCAATATACTTGTTCGCCTCAAGATCTTAAACTCTGTGTATCAATCTGAAGTCAATCGGATATTAACTTTGGCCTCTAGCTAGAGCGTCCACAAGATTTTTTGAAGTGATCAAGGGCCATAACTCTGGCAGTAATTATCGGAAATCGCTGAAAATCAATAGGCTTCTTCGTCTCATGGCCTTAAACACTGTATATAAATTTAAAGTCAATCGGATATGAACTTTAGCCTCTAGAGCGTCCACAAGCAATTGTGGACGTCGGACGGACAGACGGGGGCGACGACAATATACCACCAAATTTCAATGTGGGTGTATAAAAATCAAGAAATGACCGACCAAGCTAACGTTTACTGTTAGTTACTGATGTCACCACCGGAAACTGGTTTTGAAAGGCCTACCAA